GCACTTGGCTCAAGGCTAGGTGATCCCACACTATGTTTTTACTTTAAGCTTATTATACTCAGTCAACACTCACTACACTTATAAGGTTTCACAGCACACACACCCCTCCCGTGTGTAGGTTATATTTTACATGGAACAGAAGTCTGTCGTCTCTTATAATTTACAAAACTCCCAATAATCTTCATTAAGACTTCTTTTGTTAAATTAAAAATCAAGTGTATATAAATATGCATGTCCTTGACCATTTTTTACTTCTTAAATTTTGTCTTATTTGGATCAAACAGTAGAATCTGTGTGTTTTGCTTAATTATTATAGCGTGCCATTTAATCACTGAAAATGTCCTTTGCGTGTGGAGCACATTTTGACTGAATAGCAACCTTTGACATCAGAGAGTAACATTTAAATTTACTGGTAAATAGTTATTGACATCTTCAACAGGATTTTAATCTCTAGTAGCTGACATCTAAGAGTGTGATGCAGATAACAAGATGAGTAGTGTACAATCCCCCCCCCCCGTGTACCAGTTACACAAACTGCCCCCCCCCCTTGAAAATAAAGTTATACCACTGGGTTAGATGCTTTTCTCTTGAACATTTAGATGATTTAAACAGGGTTCAAGAATAAGGTTAGGTTTACAACTATTGTGTTTGTAATCAAATGTGTAGAGTCAGAAACTGATTTCTCAAAAAAAATCTACATTACGTTATTTTTACCTTTTTTGAAGATGGCTCTTTGCTACTGACTTGATATCAAATAGACTCCAGGTTTTGTTTATAAATAGATCAAAATAGTTGTGTATAATACATTAAATAAGTTGATGTAGTTTTCTGTAATGCAATAGAGAAGGTTTTTATCGAGTGGATCTTGTGTTATTACCATAATATCCAATGTGATTTCACAGAGGTCAGCTTTGGATGTTTCGTCGAAGGCTGTTTCGTTTGAAACTGGTTAGAAGTAACATTATTAGATACGTGTCTTCTTTGTGATAAGATCAGTTGAATCAAAGTTCACAAACTGCTGTTAACTAGCCGTAATCTACATTGTGCCTTGTAATGTATCAGCTTCAGAAGAAAAAAAAATATTTATCTTGTGACAATAATGTAAAGTGGTTCACATTCCACTAGAACTTAAAGTCCTTTGTAACATCGAAAAACCTGTAATAAGTCCTAGTAGAACTACGGAAAAATTTAGCGTTGAGTAGTTTCAAGAAGAAGAAAAAAAAAAAAGACTGGACTAATCTTAATTTAATCTTATCCTGCCACCTTTTATTTTGCTGAGCTGTATTTAAAAAGTAAATTATTACTACAGTTAAATATTTTTTCTTTCTATAGTTGTATCAAAATGTGATTTAATGAGGTCTTACTTTGTTTTTTCTTAACTTTGTATTTAAGTACAGTGCAAGTTTCTAAACGTATTGTCCGTATGCTACACCAAAGTGACCATAATCACATATTATTTTACCGTATATATTTTCATTAAGATAACCTTATCAACTTAGTTCTGCTGGTCGTAATCGTCTGTTCTTCAACACTTTTACTTACTTGATTTTAGCGGTACTATTCTTCACACCAGGTTCTCTGTCTGCATGATCAATCAACCATTCTTTAACTGTTTCACTTCTTCTGGGATCTTTCTTGAAGGGTGTAAAAAGTTACGGTACCCTATTTCCTGATCAGCTGTATAAAGTAAGAATCAAAAATGACGTGTTCAATTTATTACACTACAGGATGTTTCTGACAAAAATTCAAACCCTGTCCATTCAGTAGCATCCAATCAGACTTTTTGTAGATTTTTCAATTGGCTTGAAAGTTGAGATTATCTGTTTACTTTATGTGGCATAGTGAATACTGTTAAATTAAGTTTTTGATTCCTCCCACCCCCACAAACAAGTAAAACAGGTCCGTACAATGAAGTAGGAAATACTATGAAACTTGGTAAAAATTGTGTATATATGTATATATATATAGACTCCATATATCAAACTTAGTAAGTGTAAATAAGTCTGTGCTGTTATTTAACTTTTATTTTAAGTTGATTTATGTATATTAAGGCTTGTTTAGTTCTTCATTGTTCTTCAAATATAAACAAATGTAGTTGAAAGTAATGCCACAGAAAATGGGCAATTATCATGTATTAAAAAATGGTATAAAATACAATATTTCATCAGTATGGCATATGTTGTTTTTTGCTCTTAGAAAAGAGGAAACTTGAGGAAAATAAACACAGTTCTGTATGACTTGTGAAATACGCATAAAATTAAAACATCAGTTTGGAGAAGTCTGTTAATAATCATGTGTAAAGTACATACATATGTGTTTATTTTTTGCTAAATTTTTATAGGATCTCTTTTCATCACAACTTAATCTGTTGGTCATTTTTTGTGCCTAATGCCACAGGCCTAGTTTATATCATTGAAAATTACGTACTAAATACTCACACTAATGCACGAACGTACTCAAGGTGGATATTTTACGAGAACGAATAAAAAGTGGACCAGCTTGAAGAAACTTTATGTGTAACGAGACCTATGGTTCTCATAATTATGTAAAGGAAGTGAAATGCGTTAAAATTTACACAAAACAAACAAATTAATTAAATAATAAAAGCATATAGTACAAGTAGGCCTTCGGTATATAGTAGCGATACCGTTAGTGTTACAAAATGTCCCTAGGTTACGTATTGTTAAGTATGTTACGTTGAACAATCATTAACAAGTTATGAAGTCATCAGGTTATTTGTTGTAGTATAGTGACATCCCCGGTTCTACATGTAAATCTTGAAAATTTAACATTTCATTGGAGAGATAGATAATATTTTACAAATAAATAGGAAAACAGTAAGATTTAGAAAATGTAATAAATAGCCCATCATCATATGATCATTCCTAAAAATGTATAATGTACACACCTGCCTAATTAGCCTAGAATACTGGTTAAATTTTCTACATTGTTTAGAAATGAATCGGCGTGTTTTCCCTGTGTTTCAAAAAACTTGTCCGCAAAGTGCTGCTGTTTAAACGACTCTGCATCTCGTCATCTGTAAGTAACTGAAATTCTACCCCATAAGATATGTTCACATTCATTTTAGGGGTTTGAGCAAGTTGTTTGTACTTAGGCCTACAAGAATCATCGTGTTTTCTTTTGCGACGGTAGCACACATTGCAACAGCCTTGACAACCGGGCAACACTGAGGCGATTTGTTGCCCAGTTTTCAAGGCAACATTAAAAATATTTCACACCACATTATGCGCTCTCGGCCAATCACGGCAAAAAATTCATGCAAAAAACTTAGGTTGTATAATTATATTTTATAGGAAGAGTAATTTTTCATTCAAAAATATTTAACGTTAGCTTTACGAATAAAAATATTTAACGTTAGCTTTACCCTTTCTCTACCCGACTTATTTTGAATAAGATCTAGTATTTAACTAACTATAAATCTCAATAAATTACCCAAGTAAATTTTAATATCAAAGTACAAAGAGTAAATAGAAGCGTTAAAGTTGGTGTAATATTTATTTTTCACACATCATGGAAGCGAAATACCATGTTTTATATTTAATTAATATTGGGGCCCGGCATGGGCAAAGCTACACGAGGGCTATCTGCGCTAGCCGTCCCCAATTTAGCAATGTAAGACTAGAAGGAAGGCAGCTAGTCATCACCACCCACCGCCAACTTTTGGGCTACTCTTTTACCAACGAATAGTGGGATTGAACATCACATTATAACGCCCCCACGGCTGAAAGGGCGAACATGTTTGGTGTGACGGGGATTCGAACCCGCGACCATGCCGGGCCAAGCAGTTGTTTAAAATGT